ATTAGTCCACAGCAAACAAGATCACTCTGCTGGCTGTTGTATTGGATCACACGTCGGACACTTCCCAAGTGTCTAGGACTGTGTGATGTATCTGCAAATAATGTGTGCAGATCCCAGTAAGGTGGCCTTTTGCAGCTGGTAATTTTGTCAGCGCCAATTATATTTAAGTGCAGGCCAAGGTCTTTAGGCACTGCACCCAGCGTGTCAATCACCACTGGAACCACCTTTACTGGCTATTATTATTATTATTATTATTATTATTATTATTATTACTATCCATCTACATTGGAGGCACTCCATATGTTGTTAATCTTGAACTCCCTTCAGAGATTGCCAGCATAAGCAGTCATGGGGAGAGGGGAGTGGTAACATTTGTCCTTTTGCAGGAGCCACAGATTCCCAAACTATGGTCTGAACTCACTGTACAAAGTCAATGAGTTGTATGCATCTACAATGAACAACAGTGCACTATAAGGGTGCATCTATACTGTACAATAAACACAGTTTGAAACCACATTAACTGCCATGGCTCAGTGTTATGGAATCCTGGGATGTATCATTTGGCGAGACACCAGCTCTCTTGTAAAACTAATACTCCCATGATTCTGTAGCATTGAGACATGGCAATTAAAGTGGTGTCAAACTGCATTCATTCTGCCTTTAGTTAACTGAAATGAACTTCCTTAAAAAAACAATGGAACTTAAATACTGATAAATTGATCCCATTGGTCTTAATGTTATGTGCATTCAACTGACTTGGCATGGGTTCGGTCCCTTGTAAATCTAAGTCGCCAGGTTTGGAAATGTTCACACTCCAGATGTTGTCAGATTGCAGCTCTCTTCAATTCTAGGCAACCAAACCAATAATAAGAGATGCTGGGAGCTGCTATCTAACATTATCCAGAGAGTCACACATTCCCCAGCCGTGATATAAATGTATTAAAATGGCAGAAGCATGTACAGTATCTTGCTTGTGTGCTAGAAATTTTTAGAGCTGTCTATTCTTACCCACTAAATGCAGAATTGTTGCTTGGTTTCCTGGAAGTGGTTTTGAGTATTTTTTTTAAAAAAATCTCTACAAAAAGATAAGTACACCTGTTGCTGCAAGATATGGCTATGCGGTTAAGCGAAAGCAGCACTAAATGCCAAGCTGCTAAACCTTTGAATGGATCTAGAAATACATGAGCGATAAAGAAAAGAGCAAACAAAGCCACAAAAGTGTAGAGAAAATGAATCACACAAATTAAATTTTATGTATGTCTTATGTTTAATGGTTTTAATTGATTTTAAGTTCATAGTTATATGTACTAATTCGTTATTATAATTTCTTTGTCTACTGTATGGCGGCATTGAATTTTTGCCATTAGTATATTGTAAACCACCTTGAGGACCACCCCCCCCCTGTCTGTCATGTGCCCGCAAGCTAGAGCTGACAGACAGAAGCTCACCCCATCTCGCGGATTCAAATCAGCAAACTTCAGGTTAGCAACCCAACCTTCAGGTCACCAGTCCAGTCGGCACAAGGTTTTAACCCATTTTGTGCCACCATGGCTCCTCCCTGGATGACTGAAATGAATGTCATTCAATGTACAATCTAGAGTAGATCATTTGAGAAAAGGTGATCCTATAGATAACCTGAACCTAAACCATGTAGGACTTCAATGGCAAAAACTTTGCCCAAAAACTAAGGGCCCTTCTATACATGCCCTAAAATGCAGAAGAAACCAGAATAAAGGGGAGAGTGGCTAAATGATGTTTCACAAAAATGCGCTCTGATTTGGATTGACAGCTGAAAAACACATGTTAAAAAGGTGCGCTTAAACTCCAATTTCACTCAAAAATGTGCATATATCCATGACTGTATATCCCTGCAGTCAAGGAAAACATGATTTTGTTCGTATACCCTGGTGTAGTCAGCTTCAGTGAATGTGTGTTTCTTAAAATCTCAAAACAGTTGATCTGGACTGTAAACAAATGGAGCCATGGACACACAGGTGGATAAATGGAAGCAAAAATGCAAAGCAATTATGAGAATTCTCTGCAACCTTTCCTTTGTTCTGATACTTATGAAATTAAAGAGATATTGAATTTACAGTAGGGTAAGGAGAGATAATGAGAAATCTGTTTGTCTATACATTTAGATATTTGCATGAATGCATATGAGGTCCAGCACATCTCAGAGAGTCAATTAAAGAGAGAAAAAGGAAACTTCCACTGGACTTTCCCTATCTATCTTGTGGATTTCTAAAATCCACTACAAACGAAAGTGTTTGGACAGCTGGGGACTATTTACTCGTACTGACAGGTCTGTGTTTGGACTTGCTGTTAGGTTCCACAATTTTTTTTCCATTTATTTGTCCCACATTCTGACACTGTCTGGAAGCACCCTAACAAGCAACCGGTAAGGTAATTTTAATACTGATGTAACATAATCTCTCCTAGATGGATCAGGAAGAATGCCTCCTAGATGTACTAGTAATATGGCTACCATGTTTTAAACTAAATGAAGTTTCCAAATTACACAGAGCTAAATGTATTGTTGAAGGCTTTCATGGCCGAAATCACTGGGTTGTTGTATGTTTTTCGGGTTGTATGGCCATGTTCTAGAAGCATTCTCTCCTGACGTTTTGCCTGCATCTATGGCAGGCATCCTCAGAGGTTGTGAGGTCTCTCACAGCTTCTGAGGATGCCTGCCACAGATGCAGGCAAAACGTCAGGAGAGAATACTTCTAGAACATGGTCATACAGCCTGAAAAACATACAACAACCTGGTTCAGAGTTAGTTCCGGAAGTTCAGCCTTGCAATTTCCTGAATGTACATTACCATCTCTAGATCCTCCAGTTCAAGGAGGGGGCACAGCTGACGTAACACAGCTAATAGTAGGCACTTCTGGCTGTTGAATATATCTGGGCCGTAACCACAGTGTTTGACACTGGGATAGATTTAGGCTGGATTGGCCCAAAGATCACCATCCATCCCTGAAGGCCACCGCAGGGGTGGGAAGGAGTCCTAGATATCCAATGGTGCCAAACCTGGTTCGGTACCTCAAGACTGCCACCCTAGCTGTCTTCTTCCATTCTTCTTGTTGCAGTGCTTATTGGATGGGCATGGATGCCAGTTACTCACCACCTGGAATGACACCAGAATGATGAAGAATGAAGATTGGGGAGAGGAGGACTCACCCCCTTTCCTCCATTCTCCAATACTCCATTGTTTTGGCCAGTGTCACTCCAGGTGATGAGCAACTGACCAGCACAACCCATGCTGGCAGTCACAGGAATGAAAACAGAAGGAGACAGCGAGTGCCATTCAAAGTCCTCACATCACCTGAGCCTGGTGAACATGGGATGTTCATATAAACATTTGTGGCCACAACTGGCCAACTGTATTGTCGAAGGCTTTCATGGCCAGAATCACTGGGTTGTTGTAGGTTTTTATGGGCTATATGGCCATGCTCTAGAGGCATTCTCTCCTGACGTTTCGCCTGCATCTATAGCAAGTATCCTCAGAGGTAGTGAGGTCTATTGGAACTAGGAAAATGAGTTTATATATCTGTGGAATGACCAGGGTGGGACAAAGGACTCTAGGTGTGAATGTTTCAACTTACTACCTTGATTAGCATTTGATAGCCTGGCAGTTATTTGGTGTGGCTTGTTAGTGCCTGGGGGAATCTTTTGTTGAGAGGTGATTAGCTGTCCCTGATTGTTTCCTCTCTGTTATTTTGCTGTTGTAATTTTAGAGGTTTTTTTTTTAATACTGGTAGCCAGATTTTGTTCATTTTTATGGTTTCCTCCTTTCTGTTGAAATTGTCCACATGCTTGTGGATTTCAATGGCTTCTCTGTGTAGTCTGACATGGTGGTTGTTCGAGTAGTCCAGCATTTCTGTGTTGTCAAATAATATGCTGTGTCCAGGTTGGTTCAACTGTTTACATGGGCCCAAAGACATGGTTTGCTGCGGATTCTGGGAGAGAATTGAGAGTAACTTGTGGCTTAGGCCCCATTTGGCTCACATTAACCCAAATCAGCTCCATGTGCTATTTAGCTGTCACAGAGCTGATTCACTGGTCCTCCACATTAAGTGGTCAATATAGACGTGTCCCATACCATCCCTTCTAAGCTACCTTTTTATCACGGGAATCATCATTTGGTAAGGCATCAGCACTCTGTGGCAGAGAATGCTAAAGACCTATAAAACCACAGCTTCCATGAAACCATAGCATTAAAGTAATGTCAGCCTGCATTCATTCTGCAATGTAGAAGCACCCCAAATCCTTTTTTGCATTGCCAAGGTCATCTGGTTTCTCCCAAAGTTTGGAAATTGGTCATTTTGGTTGATAGATCCTGGGAGTCCAAGGAAATTGTTTCTCTCAGTTTCACCTTTAGCTTTATGCTTAACAGCTCCCTAAAAACCTCCCAAAGGTTTGTTATAACTATTCTTTGAGATGCCACACAGATGCTTACTTAGCAAACTGATCTTTCCTTCTACCTAATCATTCTTTACTTCTCTCAGATTCTGTATAGCAGATTTTAGGTTCCTCTAAAGCCTCCTCTACACTGCCATATAATCCAGAGGAAAGTTTCAGAGGGAAGGAGCAATCATGGAGAAGGCCCCCTCTCTCATCCCCAGCAACCGCACTAGAGACCAGGGTGGGACTGAAAGCAGGCCCCCTTCCTACAGTTCCTAACAGTGATATGACCTGCAATAATTCTCTCTACACGTTATTTTTCTTTGTGGAAATAAACTTCTCTTTATGGGTTCCATCCTGCTATGTTTCTTCTATGGCAGCAGGAAACACCTGAGCTTTTTTGCGCTCTTCCATAAATCTGTTGTTCAGTTCATAGTTGGAAAAGCGGTGGCTAATTCTCAGCCTCTGAGTCCCATGTATCATGTGCCCCTTGCCAAATATGAAATGTTGCATACATACATCTGAAGCGCACTGCCTACTGTCTATAAAAGGGAAGTTCCCTATGCATTGTTCTTAAGACAAGATCATTCTAAGATCCCCTTCACAAGCTTGCTGGCTAGCGCTTGTATTTCCTTTCTGGTTTCTGTAACCACCTGCAGAAAAACAATGGACAGAAGTAAGTACAATCTTCTCTCACTCTTACTCATTTGCTTCTACAGGGCTCAACTTGAACCAAACCTCAACCTGCAAGTTTCTAACGGCAAGCCTTCATCTATGGATATAATCGCACAACAATATAGAATTGAGAATGTATCCACACCCCAGAATTATAACAGGTTGACACCACCTTAACTGCGATCAAGTTTTGTGATTTGTAGTTTTGTGAACTATTTATCCTTCTCTGCCAGAGAGCTCTGGTGCTACAACAAACTGCAAATTTCAGGAATCCATAGGTTTGAACCATGACGGTCAAAGTGGTGTCGAACTGCTAAAATTCTGCAGTGTGGATGACCCGTGATAGTACTATTCTTTTACCAAGAATGGCAAGTCTTCTGCTCAGAAATGCAATATGAAATAAGTGTAACGTTTAGACTGACAGCATCTCTGTTTAAACTCATTAATTGCAAAGAGACTGTGCTGTTATCTTATCTGGAAGAACTTCAGATTTCAAATTATAAGACCTCAAGGTGACATTTACCTCTCTGCTCTGGAAGTTCCTACCACTTAAACTCCTCAATGGCACAGTTATTTAGTGATATGTAAAGGTCTCTGTACATGTATTATTATTTACATGGGGTAAGGTCAGGTTCAAAGTCAGAAGCTACTTTGATTGACAAAAGAAGGATGTATATATACGCGCACGTGCTAGGCCAGGGGTCCTCAAACTACGGCCCGGGGGCTGGATACGGCCCTCCAAGGTCATTTATCCGGCCCTCGCTCAGGGTCAACCTAAGTCTGAAATGACTTGAAAGCACACAACAACAACAACAACAATCCTATCTCATCAGCCAAAAGCAGGCCCACACTCTCCACTGAAATACTAATAAGCTTATATTTGTTAAAATCATTTTTCATTTTAATTATTGTATTGTTTTAAAGTGTTTTTGCACTACAAATAAGATAAGTGCAGTGCATAGGAATTCATTCATGTTTTTTTTTTCAAATTATAATCCGGCCCTCCAACAGTTAGAGGGACTGTGACCTGGCCCTCTGTTTAAAAAGTTTGAGGACCCCTGTGCTAGGCAGTTCTGAACGTTATTACATCTGTTGTTGATTTGAAGAAGAAATTAAATAAATTGATTGAATAAACCACAAGTTAATATTGTGAAATATTTACAGGCAGCCTGCTTTACACGAGACAATTTGGAGTAGAAGCTTGCATGGAAAGCAAATGTGGAGCTTTGGGGTTTATATTGTGTTCCTACCACAAGTACGAATGCAAGTGCTGTTTTGGATGTTTACATTTTCTGTGCTGTTTTCACTGAGTTGCTCTGGCAAGTAACAACAACCGTTTGGCCCCCAAGGCACTTACAGAATTCCAGCTGCCAACCAAGTTAGACGGTTGCAAATATCAGAGCTGACAACAGCATATTTTGGAAGGGAATGGTGGAGCGCTCATTTACCATCCTCAAACCCTCTGTCAAGTTACAATGGGCTCTTGGTATCCCTCTGTGTTTGGTTCAAGGAAACTCCCCCTCTCCGCTGCCCCCCACTTCCATGAGTACCAAAATCTGTGGATGTTTAAGCCCCATTATATACAATGCCTGATATAAAATGGCAAAATCAAGGTTGGATTTTTTTAAAATTCAAGCTGTGGATCGCTAAATCTATGGATTTAGAAAATGGATAATAATGAGCTTGTTGAGTGAAAAGTCACAGGTTTGAATCCGGGGAGCAGTGTGAGCTTCCGCTGTCAACCCCAGCTTCTGCCAACCTAGCAGTTTGAAAACATGCAAATGTGAGTAGTAAATGTGGTGGGAAGGTAACTGCGCTCCATGCCGTCATGCTGGCCACATGACATTGGAGGTGTCTATGGACAGCACCGGCTCTTCAGCTTAGAAATGGAGATGAGCACCAGCCCCCAGAGTTGGACACAACTGGACTTAATGTCTGGGGAAAACCTTTACCTTTACTAATATAATAATAATAACTTTATTTTTGTATCCCGCCACTATCTCCCCAAAGGAGCCCCCGGTGGCGCAGTGGGTTAAACCCCTGTGCCGGCAGCACTGAAGACCGACAGGTTGCAAATTTGAATCCGGGGAGAGGTGGATGAGTTCCCTCTATCAACTCCAGCTCCTCATGCGGGGACATGAGAGAAGCCTCCCACAAGGATGATAAAAACATCAAATCATCCGGGCATCCCCTGGGCAATATCCTTGCAGACAGCCAATTCTCTCACACCAGAAGCGACTTGCAGTTTCTCAAGTCGCTCCTGACATGACAAAAAAAAATCTCCCCAAAGGGACTCAGGGAGACTTACATGGGGACAAGCCCTGTCAAACATAGAATTAAAACACAGCAAAGTAAAATTTATCAAAACAACATCATAAAACATAAAATAACATTATCAATCAACCCATAGACTGACATAGTAATTGAATACGAGACTCGGGCGGGCAAAGGCTTGTGCAATAAAGTTGTGGTTGCAAGGCCAGGGCAGATGGAAAAAGTGCAAGAGCCAAATAATAGTTTGAGCTAGAAGGGCAATGTCAATTAAAACACTATATCTATAGGGCAAGAAACAGTGGTAAAGTGCAGGGGCCATATATTGGTTATGGTTGGGAGGACAAAATTATCTCGTGATCTATTTAATCAAAGGCTCTGTGGAAACAGAGGGCTGACTCTTCCTGCAAGCAAAGGCATTAAGAAACCACAAACAGAAATCCTTGTGGAAATCCATACAAACCTGGAAATCAATGCAAATAGAAATCCCCAGTCATAGACTACTTATCGCCACCATGAGTTCCATAGGCAAGGAATATGGAGAGGTGGTTTTGCTAGTTCCTTCTTCAGAAATATAGCCTACAACACACTATGCATTGGTGGTTTCCTATCCAAGTACTCACTATAGCTGACTGCTTAGCTTACAAGATCAGTCAGGATCTGGTGTCTTTAGGAGATTTAGATCTATGCCACACATTTGAAGTCTGAAAGATCAATTTCAGGGCAGTTTGGGAAAGGGTTTGGTTTGATTTTTCCCCAGATTTCAGCACATGGAATCCCCCAGGCAGCATGATAGCTGGGAAGCATTCCCCAAAAGAGTCCCTTTACTGAACTCTGTTTTAAAGTAAATCAAAAAGGAAATAATGGCCAGATAGTCCCTTTTTTGGGTTACAGCAAAGTAACTTTTCCAGGTTTTGCTTCACAGTAAATCTAAGCGCTCAGTTTTTGTATGAGAAGAATTTATGGGAAACAACCAAATTACAATCTAAGTATAGCTCCATTTTGCTGTTTGGTAGGAAAGAGATTTGTAGTAATAGCAGCTATTGTGTATTTCTCTCCTCTAGACAAGCATCTGAAAGCAGCCATCCTTTGGAATCTTCCCCTACTTTTCCAGGTATGTTGTTGACACAAACAAAACACATTACCTGCTTGCTATGCTTCAATTTATCATTGCTGCAGTGAGGGAAGAAAAAGTAGTTGAAATATAGTCTTGCTAACTGTGTCCTATGCTTCTTTTTAGTATTTGAAAGGAGCTGAGCAAAGGAAACTGTTAAAGGTGCTCTTGGGAATATTAAATCAGTGGACGATATGATACAGATAATGATTAGTTACATCTTTCCCTGGGTTTTCTTCTAATGAGCTCAAGGCACCTTACATGGCTCTGCTGCTCCACACGTTCTTTTAACTCCCACCCTCTGAGATTGGTCTTATTGAGACAGCGACTACCCCAGGCATGTAGCCGGGGGGGGGGGGGGGGGGGGGGGGGGGGGGTTTGAGGGGCTTCAGCCCCCCCCCCCCCGAAATTCTCATGGTGGTTCGCGAAAAGGCCTTACTGGTGTATTATTTAAACTGTTATGTTTATTCGTATCATGATCTGATCACCATACTCATTATATCCCATATGCATGGGGGTATTGGGGGAATGATACAAAAGGTTTGCTAGGCTAGACCCTCTTTCACTCAGACTCAGCCCCCCCCCCCCCGAAACTCCCCCCTGAAAAAAATTCAGCCCCCCCCCTCCCCCGAAATGAAATCCTGGCTACGGGCCTGGACTACCCAATTACTTTTTAACAGCCAAGAACTAGAATCTCCCAAATGCCAGGTCAACACTCTACCTGAAGCTATGGAGTGGGGTTGCTATTAGATTCACACAATTCTTATTGACTTCAAATCAACATCTGCTTGGTAACAGCAGAAACAGAATGTTAAGTCTTAGGATCTCATCACATTATCTTTGGGAAGCATCCTAGGATGCTTCCAGGATGCTTTCTCAACAGAGCCCAATGGACCCCATCATACAATGCAAGGCTACTTCCAGTGGGGCACCATACAGGAAGTATCCTGGCAGTGTCCTAGGACATCATCCAGTGAACACAGGAGGCTTCCCATGTTATCATGAAATTGAATGGGAGGAAGCCAGACAGCAATGCTTTTCCCCAAGTGATGGGGAAAACAGTGCAATGGGAGATGTGGGGCACTGAGCAATGGTTTTCCCCGCTGCCCCATGGATTCACCACTCTGCCTGGCAAATACCTTGCTGTCACCCAGCTTCAGGACTTCAGTGTGATGAGGTCCTAGGACAGTCTTTGTTCTGAACTTACAGACTTCTTATGTTTTAAACCAGTCTCCACCAATCTGATGCCCACTCGATGTTGGTCTACAACAGGGGTCCTCACACTTTTTAAACAGAGGGCCAGGTCACAGTCCTTCAAATTGTTATGATTTGGAAAAAAAAACATGAATGAATTCCTATGCACACTGCACATATCTTATTTGTAGTGCAAAAACATTTAAAAACAATACAATAATTAAAATGAAGAACAATTTTAATAAATATAGACTTAGTATTTCAATAGGAAGTGTGGGCCTGCTTTTGGCTGTTGAGACAGGATTGTTGTTGTTGTTGTTGTTGTTGTTGTTGTTGTGTGCTTTCAAGTTGCTTCAAACTTAGGCTGACCCTGAGCTAGGGCCAGGTAAATGGCCTTGGTGGGCCGTATCCGGCCCTTGGGCCTTAGTTTGAGGAACCCTGGTCTACAACATCCCATCATGTAATCCTTATGCTGTCTGGCGGTGATGGGAATTGAAAGCATCAGGTTGGAGAAGGTTAACCTTAAAAGACACATAAACTACTGTAGATACCTGATGAATAAGTCAAGAGCTTCTTTTGAGACCTAAAATTATGGATTTTGATATGGCCTGTAGATAAGTCTGGAGTCATTCCATATAGAGGGGAAAACACCAGTGATACCATAAGAGATGAAATACTCCTGGCCACCACTGTCATTTTGCTGCCCAAGCATTTTAAAAGAGCAGAAGTGATGCCAAAGCAGAGGGTGTGCTTCTTTTAAGTTCTGCGAGGATGGAGGACGTTCTCACCATTCACCATTCCACTGATAGAAAGGGATGGTTTCTTTTGTGATAAGAGTCACACTACAGTACTTACATTGATCTTTGGATGTTGACTGTTGAGCAAAATTTGTAGACATATACGGTATATATATAAGTACATTTACAGTACATTTTGCCACCACTTCTAGACTATGTCAGTAAGGTTGGTTTTAAATAATGTTCCTTCTCTCCCTCGCCCACCCCCCTCTCTCTATATATATATATATATCCCCCCTCCGTGTACCCCCCTCTCTAAATCTCTCACAGGGGCTTACAAGAAAAGGGTGGAGTAGGGTGGAGTATTTCATGGTGGGCTGTTGCCTTCCTTTCTCTTTGGGTGATGTTTCTTTCTGTGCACCCACAGGATGTGGTAGGAACCCTCGCTCACTGAGCCCACCACAAAGTTTTAAGCAGAAACCTTATAAACCAACAGTATTTTGTTTTGGTTTATTTTCAAGGCTTACAGGGGCTGTAGAATCTGAACCCCAACATCTTTTTATCACTGCCTGCCACTCCTCAGCCACAGCCCATCACTGCTTATGTAGGAAAACTCCAGCTATTATTTATTTATTCCCACTCCTGTCCCTAGCAATCTCCTTTGCTTTCATCCTGTTTCTTCATTTCATTCCCCATCCATCCTGGACAATCCAGTCCTTGATCTCTCTTCTTCCCATTTTGATGAGGATTAGTCTTAACATTTTTTTTTCCTGATGTGTGTTTTTAAATGTCTGGGCTTTCCCACTGCAAATGTCACACACGCTTCAACTTCCTTTAAAATGCTTTTAAGGAAAGCAGAGCATGCATCAGAAATCACATGTTATGGTCATTCATGAGTGGTATAATGGGGAAGATGGTTTTTATATATTTGCTAGCAACTGAAGCAGAACAAAACAGTTAAAGGTCACTTTCACTTGCCTACTCCAATATACTTCTTGCCTTTTTGTTGTTGTTAAATGCCATCATCATTTATGAGAATGAGAGACATCTAACAGCTCCTGTTTATGTTTTGCAAGCTGTCTACCCACCTGTAATGAGGTCTTCCTCTTTTTCTACTGACTCCCACTTTATTGAGCATGATCACCTTTGATAATGTCTTGTCATCTTATATGGCCAAAATGTAATAGCCTTAGTTTTGTCATTTTTGGCCTCTAGCTTGGGTCTAGAATTGATCTATGGGACACTATGGTCATTTGGACATTTGTGGTGCTAGTAGAACTCTCCTTTAGTCCCACATTTCAAATGAGTTAATTGTCAGCTTTCTTCACTGTCCAGGTTTCATAACCACATGCAGGAGCTAGAAATAGTGAATGATGAAGATATTGAAACAGTCAATGACTCTCTATATCAGGCATGGGCAAAATTTGGCCCTCAAGGTGTTTTGGAATTCAACTCTCACTATTCCTAACAGCCTACTGTTTCAATATCTTCATCATTCACTGAAAATTGGGTAAATTATCTGTCACTATTTTTTGTTTTTTTGTTTTTTTACATAAAACTGTAACCCACTCATCATTCAGTATCATACATTGATTCTGGTTCCCTTGTTCCGTAAGATCTCAAAGTAGAATCATGACCATAAGAAAAGTTTTTAATTTTGACTGCAATGTTGGAGACTTGAACTATGGGTTCCAATTGGAAACTATGGTTTATCAGTGCAGATACCACACCAAATCAGAGTAAAACTATTATAGTGTGATCCTTACAACACCCACATAAGATACATCCGTTTTTAATCGCTTACATCAAATAAAGTACTGATATCTAGCTTGTTAAGAAGACTGTACAGAGCTTAAGGCACAGGTGAGATTTGAACAGATGTTTTCTAATTCATAGCTCACCTCTATTCAAAAATAATAACAACAATAATAATAATATTTTTTTTTGTCGTGTCAGGAGCAACTTGAGAAACTGCAAGTCGCTTCTGGTGTGAGAGAAATGGCCGTCTGCAAGGACGTTGCCCAGGGGACGCCTGGATGATTTGATGTTTTTATCATCCTTATGGGAGGCTTTTCTCATGTCCCCGCATGAGGAGCTGGAGCTGACAGAGGGAGCTCATCCGCCTCTCCCCGGATTCGAACCTGCGACCTGTCGGTCTTCAGTCCTGCCGGCACAGGTGTTTAACCCACTGCGCCACTGGGGGCTCCAATAATAATGATAATCTTTATTTATACCCCACCACCATCTCCCCAAAGGAACTCGGGGCGACTAAAATGAGGCCAAGCCCAAAAATTACAGTAAGGCAAAATAAATACGTACAACAAAACAACATCCAATAAAATACATAACATCAAATAAAATGCAAAATAATAAGAATATAATACAATAAAATAACACGAAACGTAAGATAACACAGGAGAATTAAAACATGACAGGATGGACCAGATGCAAGGGATACAGTTATAAAAAAAAACCCTGGGTGAGATATCGAGTAGGGTATCTAGTGGGAGGCTTGGTGGGAAAAAGGGACAACAATGAGAATAATCTTCAGTGAGGGATGAGATAAAGTGCAACAGAAGGACAGATTTGTACTAGGCCGGATAGGGTATGGGGAGTATTGATAATTCTCCAAAAGCACACCGGAAAAGTCAAGTCTTCGGACTTTTCCTAAAAACTGCTAGTAAGTAAATGTATATATAGAATACTCAGTTATTTAAAGTACATACTATATCAACCACTTTGAAAAATTATCCTTGTAGTCCTAGGCACTTCTTTTCTGGAGATGATGGAACATGTTGATAGCCACCAGGTTGGGGAAAACTGTATCTAATTAGTGAAATATAATATCATACCACTTCCAAATGGTAGACACTCATGTAGATACTGGTTCCAATTAAGTGAATCCTGTACTACATTATCCTTCAGAGTAAATAGAATTGGAAGCAATTCCAGGGCCCTTTGCACATTATACAATTGAAGTACTTTGATAACACGGATACCAGACCTCCATCCTAAGTAATCCTGGCACTTGTGGTTTTGTGGTGTGTAGAGTGCTATTTTGTGGCATGATGTAGTGGTTGAGTGCTGGACTATGACCCTGAAGATTAACATTTGAATCCCACCTCAGCCATGGAAACCCACTGGGTATCCCTGTGCAAGTAACACTTTCTCAGCCTCAGAGGAAAGCAATGGCAAACTCTCCCTAAACAAATCTTGAAAAAAACATAAGTTTATTTTAAGGTCACCATAGGCTGGAAATGAGTCATAGGCCAACACTCAAACCACTATGCCACCCTTGCTCTCTGTACTGGGATTTAGATTGTTGTAGTATTTAAAATGCATTTAATTGCTAGTATCTTTAATATGTTTATCTTGTCCAAATATGTATGATTTTGGTCTGAATATTTTTAAAAATTATATTGTGCATCACCTAAGATACTGTGATAACCAGCAAGATAAGAAGAGCTTCTGGGTCTATTAGTTTTGGAATTTGCTTCCAAAGTAAATAGAAAACACAACCCCAAAACTAAACTGGGAACACAAGCAGGGGGAAAGGGTTACATCTTGCCACCAATATCCCACCCATCAAATACCTGTCTAGATGCTATTTAGTTTCTATTAATAGCCATGTGTACAATTGCTAATTGCATGGATAGCATCGCTCTTGGACCCCTGATTATATAGGTATAGGCATATGTTTTCAGAAAATGTGGGAGTTATAGATTCCTTATGGAGACCAAAGATTTCTAAGAGCATCTTTGCCAAACAGTATTTCCTAAGTGCTTTTTAAGAAAAGCCACAGTACTTCAATTGCATTGAATCATTCAAGTGTATTGGTAGATGAGTTCCAAAGCTGATCTTTTCCTGTAGATATTTCATGGGATCTACAGAATTTACAAAAGCAACTCCAGAATTGGGAATTTACCATTGTGATTGAGGAATCACAGGTGTTGTAATCCAAAACAGTAATTGTTCTTGGTTCTAGTTTTTTACCACTTCAAACCAGGCTGGATAATATGTGGTCCTCTTGACGTTGCTAGATTTCAACTTCTATCATACCTCATATTTCATTATATTACGTAGGATTAATGGACAGTTCAGTTCAACAACATATGAAAGATCCTAAATTCCCAGTCCTGATTTAGAAAATCCTACTGAGATGTTGCCAGTAAACATCTAGACTATAACCAATGCTTCCATCTTCCTTCTAGTTCTGCACGGGTGACGATGTGACAACCGACTATGACTATGCCGACGATAATTCAACCACTGACTACAGTAACTTTGAAGAAGTCTGCAAGAAGGAGGAGATTCGGAGATTCCGAGCTACTTTCTTGCCCACCATATATTCCATTGTCTGCTTTGTGGGCCTGGCTGGCAATGGCCTGGTCATGCTGACCTACATTTACTTCAAGAGACTCAAGACAATGACTGATATCTACCTACTCAACCTTGCCTTAGCTGACATCCTCTTCCTGTTGACTCTCCCTTTCTGGGCTGTCAGTGCAGCCAAATATTGGGTCTTCAAGGAGTTTGCTTGCAAGGCTGTCCACTGCATTTGTCAGATGAGTTTCTTTAGTGGCATGCTCCTGCTTCTCTCCATAAGCATTGATCGGTATTTTGCCATTGTTCAGGCTCCTTCAGCCCACCGCCATCGCTCCCAGAGGGTACTTGCCAGCAAAGTCACCTGTCTCTCCATTTGGATACTGGGTTTCATCCTTTCACTCCCTGAGGCAATCCATAGAGGTGTATATGACTCTGAAAGTTCAACACCACGCTGCACCATTGTAACAGCAAACTTGCTTGCCTTCAGCACCTCCATCAGAATCTCTCAGATAGTCTTTGGCTTCTTCATTCCTCTGCTGGTGATGACCTTTTGCTACTGGATCATCATCAGGACCCTGTTACAGGCCCGCAGCTTTGAGAAGAACAGAGCCATCAAGGTTCTCATTGCAGTCATGGTTGTCTTTGTCCTCTTTCAGATGCCCTACAACAGTGTCATGCTTGCTGAGACCATCTCGGCCTTCAACAACACAACTGGCCAATGTGATGCCATCAAGCGCATAGATGTGGCCAGTGATGTGACATACAGCCTGGCCTGCTTCCGCTGTTGTCTAAACCCTTTCTTGTATGCTTTCATAGGTGTCAAGTTTCGTAACGATGTGCTACGACTCCTTAAAGACCTGGGCTGTATCAACCAAGCACAGCTCTGGAAATGGTCAACATATCGAGAGAACAACCGATGTTCTATTGCCACAGAAACTGATACCACCACCACATATTCCCCATGAGATGCTATTGACAATACAACACAAATTTAAAATCAGACCATGAAATTGATGTTAATGTCAACAATCTTCCGGGGGCGGAATCAGGAACTGAATTTCTGAACAGAATCAGGAACTGACCACTGAAATTCACCACATTGATACTTTGTTATAGTTTCATAAGGAACGGAAAGATCATCCCATCTCCACAGAACAACTAACAGAACTCATGTGGCCAAATGCCACAAGGCAGCAAGAATTGGTCTACAGACTATTGCTTATGTGTCTGAAAAAGTGAGCCCGAGAATGAGGCAAAAATGCTCTGTGAAATCAAAAGAGATTATCTAAACTGGGCACCTAAAGATGATAACTATCTTAATAATAATCACAATGTGTCCACACAGAATGAAATTGCATCAAGAACCATACAGATACCAAAAGGTGACCTTAAAGTTAAAGGAAGGCATAGAAACAAATAACTGACATATTTAATTGTTCACTTTTTAGTTTTTCTCCTGTATCCACCTCCAGTATCTTTTTTCCTCTGCCATCCCCATATATTGTATTGTTGTATGATGTTTTAACTTGTATTAGTAACATTGAATCCTTGCTGTAAGCCGGTCTGAGTCCCTCTACGGAGGTGAGAAGATCGGGACATAAAAGTTTTAAATAAATAAATATAGTTTTCCCCCTGTCACCTCTTTTATGCCAACTGTAACGCAGACCAAATGGCCATCTGGCTCAGAGAGCACCTTCCTTCCCAAAAGCTGGTTGATCCGTGTTCCCTTGTCCTCACATTGTATCTACCTGGACAACCCAGATGGTTGTGAACAAACTGGTTTAAGTGAATCAAGGACAAAATGAATGTGGTGTTAAAATACTTATAAATATATGTTTCCTCTACAAAGGTACATTCCAACAGGAGTATTGTAGAATACAATTGCTTTATGTATCTATCTTTGTATCTATAGCCAATAGAAGGCACATGCAAGTCAAATGTTGTATATCAATCTTGTTATTAGTCATTCTACTAGTGAGCATCAGCTTTCTCATTTCTATACTGTCCAATGATTATGGTACATTGCATAATGATACTTGCATATGTAGCTTCAGGGCACCGTAGTAAATTCTGAAGTGCAGGTGCTCATCATGAATGCCACCATATTTGCAACCTTAAGTTCCAAAAGTACAGACAACTATCTTAATCCATATCAATAAGCCAGTTCTAGCAGGTCATATCAACCACAAACCAGTTCATACTAATTTTGTAAAGCTAGTGGGTTTTTACTGCCGATTCAAAACCAAGGGACTCCAAATATACCTTGTATCACAACCCCACCTCTTCTACTACAATTATTATTTCAGCTAAGTGTAGAGGGGAAGGGGATATTTGAGGGTGTGGCAAATGATATCAAACCACATCAAATGGCAAACAGCATCAATTACCTTGCAAACCCTGATGCTACTACAACACTATAAACTTTCTATAGATTCTCTGTGATCAAGCAGATGCACCATGCCATCTGCTTGAGTGTTCTCTGATCCCTTTTTAAATAAAATGTTGTATATTTGCTAAGTGAAGATTGTTAAGAGAACTGTAGTAAAAACCCTGTACTCACAGAACCAACATCTGAGGATTCATTTACCATCATCCAACAAAACATGCACTCTCTAATAATTTCCTAGGTCCTCCAGAGCAACTCTATGGCCACTTCTGGCAGAAATTGTTCATTTCAATAGGGCTTGGAAATGTTCTCAGCTTCCTGTTTCCATGATAAATAAAGGAATGTATCTTTTAGATGCAGGGCTTGTACTGTATTACTGTTGGTTTTCTTAAAGGAAATTTTTAGTCAGAATGTAAACTTGACAAAGGAATGTTTTGACTTATGAACATAAGGTATTCCAGTGATATTTCTACAGGAGAGCAAATTGTTAGAAGATATATTGTCGAAGGATTTCATGGCCGGAATCACTGGGTTGTCGTAGGTTTTTCGGGCTGTGTGGCCATGTTCTAGAAGCATTCTCTTCTGATGTTTCGCCTGCATCTATGGCAGGCATCCTCAGAGGTTGTGAGGTCTGTTGGAAACTAGGAAAATTGGGTTTATATAAACTTGACAAAGGAATGCTAAGACTTATAAGCGTAAGGTATTCTAGTGATATTTCTCCAAGAGAGCAAATTGTTAGAAGATAGTTTCTTGATAATGAGACCAATTGGAATAATTCTGAAAAGGAAAAATGGTCAGAAATTGAGAGATGGGAGAGGGGTTTCTTGCTTTGCCTCCCTAGCCATCACTTCAGCTACAAACAGTATAAGCAAGATATATGTCTGATGGACATAAAGGAAGATGAGAATTATTCTGATTGCAACTGAGGAAAAATGGTAGAGATCATTCTGAATTCTGGACAGTGCTTTGAGGAGGGTTGCCTCACTGGAGATCTGATGCATGAAACTGACATTTTTTATCTATAGGAATACTATGCTGTATGTCTGACACCTGGTTAGTGTGTCATTTTGTAAATAAACCATTTATTATAAAAATGTCAAATGCCTCTTTCCACTAATTTCACTTTGCAAAGGAATGAAATCCAGGTAAGACCTGCCCTTGTGGACTTATCCAGACAGGAGAAACTCTCTGGAAGTATTGAGACTTTCCAGTTCGTTTTGTTTTGATTTTTACCTGCATTTTCATGGTTTTGCATTCAAATATCCAAGATTTCCCTGTCTCCTCCCTCCTACTTATCACACATCATTTAGACAAGGTTTCAGAAAGTGCCTTGCACAAATTTCAATTGAGACTTTTAAAGAATTATTCTGAAGTTATAGTCAAAAGTATTAAAGTGCTTTAGCAATATTCTACTATTTAAGCATTGCGATCATTACCTTGTATTGCTAGCATTTTTCTTAGCTTCTCTTAATCTCTGTTGAGTCCTAGTCCTGGAAAAAATATTGATGTTTCTTAGTGATGGCCACTACAGAGATTACAGAAAAACTCTGGGATTACAGAAACACTCTGCTATGCAAGGATATCTTTCGTTTTGGGGAGTAAGGGAAAATTTAAATCTGCCCTGAATAGTGGGAATGAAAAGTCCTTGTAAGTGCTGGGACTTCCCTGGGAATACTTCAGAATGAGGAAGCCATCATGTGGATCTCCCCTACACCCTCAAAAAAAATGGAAAAGGCAGAAACAACATCAGGGCCCTTCTGATTTTTCCTGTCTGTCCGGGTGGGTCCTCAGATCATTTTGGAAAGCACACATTTAACGCTCCAACAAATATTCTCCCTGGAAGTGTTTGTGAGCTTCTCTGGGTCCTCCCGTGCCATCCTACAGTATGCTTCTGGCCCAAGTGTAGTCAAAATATAGAATTCACTGTTATTCACAGTTTCAGGTATCCACAGAGGGTGGAGAGTGGGGTGGGGTTAAGTCTTGGAAAATATCCTCTGAAAATGCAGGGTTCATGCTGCACACATGATGTGTTTCAAGGTTTGAGCCTAACACTTAGAGGAAGAATTTTCAGTGGGCAGTGATGCCATCAGGATAGGACTTTGGGGCTCTGTTCAGCAGAATCATAGAATCACAGAGTTGGAAGAGACCTCATAGGCCATCCAGTCCAACCCCCTGCCAAGACGCAGAAAATTTGCATTCAAAGCACCCCCGACAGATGGCCATCCAGCCTCTGTTTAAAAGCTTCCAAAGAAGGAGCCTCTACCACACTCTGGGGCAGAGAGTTCCACTGCTGAACAGCTCTCACAAATAGAAGGAGAACCCCAAACACAGGGAGTCTGGTTCCCTATATCAAATTGATGCCCATTATCCCCTAGACTTCTCACCCTGGGGTATTTCAGTTAGGTCATGTGATATTCATTACCATTGAAAGGGGAGAGAGTACCTCTTTAAGGCCAGTAGGTTTTGACAGTGCTGTATGACCTTACTGCACTTACACACTAATATGCAAACTCTTCAGATTGAGGTCTCACCAATACTGCAATGTAGCTAGCACCTTTTCTCACAAAGGCATTCATGGAAAGGTGAAGTGAAACTGTGCCAGAAACAGCTAGAGAGACTTGGGTTTCCTCTTTGTCTCACTAACAGTTTCTCCCCATCCTTCAATTCTCTTCTTGTTTGTTCATGACACCCCAAGATAATGTGACTACAGCTCATTCCAAATCAAAAGGCCCTTGAGACAAGTTCCCACCCAACAAGAAACTACTAATTCAATTCCCAAAACAGGAAAAATCAATTAAGATTTGAAATAATTATGCAGATTATAAAAAAAATAGAAAAGACCTTGCCTTCAGACCAACACCAATGCAGTTTCAAGTCAACCAGATGGAGCACAGAAATAACGTTAGTTTTGCAGCCCATGTGGATCCTGTAAAGGCAGAAAATAGCAATATCATAGAAGCATAAAATTGGATGAGACAATAAGGGCTATATATGAGGGTTATCCGGAAAGTAAAGTTATAAGATTTTTTAAAAAATACAAAGAATGAATATATTTTAATAAAATTTACATGGATTGTAGCATAGGTATTACAATATTTTTCCACATAATCACCATTCAGTTCAATGCATTTTGTTGTCCGTAGGATGAGTTTTAGATGCCTGTGTCATAGAAGTTTCCCTACGTCTTTTTCAGCCAGTTAATCACTTCGATTTTCACTTTGTCATCATCAGAAAAGAGTTTTCCACCAAGTATTCCTTCAATTTAGTGAACAGATTATAGTCACTGGGTGCAAGATCGGGGCTGTGAGAGGAGTGGCTTAAAACATCACAACCAAATGAAGTCAATAACTCTTGTGTTGCATGAGCGGTGTGCAGATGTGCATTGTCATGAAGGAGACACAGTCCTGCCATAACCATCCCACGACGTTTGTTTTGAATAGCTCTGTGAAGTTTCTTCATGGTCTCACAATATATTCCATACCCATTTTGTCACATGCTATCTTGATATTAAGCCCTCTCCATAAACTGAAATGATTTCGCGATGAATTGCAGCAGCGTTCATGCCCTTAGGATTCAGGTAGCATATAACAGTGCAAACATTACACTTGGAGGGAAACGAAATGAAGACGCTCATCTCTAACCTTCACCACAATGCCAGTCGATGAGCTACTGACGACCAGCACTGCTCATTCACTTTTGCTGGCCTTCCAGTACACAGCAGTGATACCAACTTCCCCTGAGAAAATTCCCCACAAGATTTACATGCCTTGTAACCTTACTTTCCAGATAATCCTCGTAGTCCAGCATCCTAACATGGAGGAATACACAGTGACTTCACAATCGAGCTATCAATTAGTTTCCATTATGCCGTACACTACATTCACAAATATTTCCTTCAATTGAATAATTTTGCTCTCAAGAAATACCCCCACCCACAAAGCAGAATAAGGGAATAAAGTTAAGAGTCTAGATCAGAGAAGTAAAACTGAAAGCCATGAGTGAGAATAAAAGCTGTGCATAGTATTAGCCAACCATTATCACCCATTGCCTCAAAATTACTAGGCTTATTTCTGAAACTAATTTAGAAACTCGGTTTTACAAAGTGAAATCTGAGAGTCTCAAGATTCCACCTCAGATAGCAGTTTGTCTATCTGCATGTTAATTTTGTTGGTGCTGTGTGTTATATTCAGCTGAAGATGTTATGTTGGTACAAAGTGAAGAATGGAAATGAGAAAGTTTTTGTGTTTCTGGTCCTTTCTCAGTGTCAACTTGAAATGGTCTGCAGAAACAGTCTTGACTGATAGATTTATCAGAAGCAACAAGATGGCACTATCTTGATTTAAAACTCTGGATCAAGAAAAAAATATCAAAACTACTTTGACTCAAAACAGTTTAGACCAGTTGTTCTCAACCTGGGGTCCCCAGATTTTTTTGGCCTACAACTCCCGGAAATCCTAACAGCTGATAAACTGGTTGAGATTTCTGGGAGTTGTAGGCCAAAAACATCTGGGGACCCCAGGTTGAGAACCACTGGTTTAGACCTCATTCTATAAGGCAGAAGTATGTGTGCCATTCCAGATGTTGTTGGACCATAGGTCCCAGAAGCACAGCCAATGGCATGCGGTTATCAGATCTGCAGTTTATCAATACCTGGAAAGCCATATAGTTATCCCCATACTTATTTTACAGTCCACTTAAGTTTGTCAAAGCAGCAAAAAGCCCCTGATTGCCTGCCATTATTGCAGTTCTTGGATAAGCAAAGAGAATTCTGACCACTTGCACACTCAGCCCTTTCCCTTGATGAAGAAAAAGTACATTGGGCTGGCTGGCTGAGAAGGAAAGTGATCGACTATTTTCAGGTCCGAAGAGACACATTTCACAGCAATAGCTTTCCTTAATAACTGTCAAAGGTTAGTTTTGATCTGGTTTGGTGTTTCCACAGATCGAATGGGTTGGTTCTGGGGTTTTCCTTGAGACAGAACACAGTTCCATAAATGTCATGAAGTAGTTGTAAGTCATATAGAAACAAACTTTTACAATTCCAAAGTGCACAGAACAAAATTGCAAAAATAAATACCTTAAATACATATTTTTCAAAATGCTTTTTTCCATATTTTAGAACAGCATTGTTTGACTGTGATGTGCAACACATACCAGCACTTCCTGGTTCCTCACTGCTGAAGACAATGACGATTACCTTTCTATAATGCCCCAAAACATTGTTCGAATAAAACCTGCGCTGATTAGAGGTATAATCCCAAATTTTCCATCCAAAACATTTTAAATAGAGATCTGGAGCTATGCACCAGCAAATTTTTACCCTTGTGTTATGACACAATAGCCTTTTCTTTCCAGTCTCCAAATTCTGTTGGCAATTAGAAACCTGTGTGGACCAAATTAGGCTCAAAGACTCCTCACCCCTGATACAAGGCTATATTAAACAACAAGATTTTCTAAATAGCTCACAGAGGTTTAAATAAAGTATAAAGCAGCAGCAGCAAGGATTTGGGAGATGTATTAATGAGTTATGTCTCAGCATTTGTTCCAATTCATTTAAAAACTGAATTCCTCTTGTATTTTTGACATCTCAAAGTGGAAATGGGAGGAGAGATAATTTAATTCTTAAATGAGATCCTTTTTGAAAAGGTCCTTTCTAGACCCCTGATAACCATGGATTAATCTCAAACATTCTACTTTGAGGCAAAGGGGTATGAGTATGCAATCATGGTGATTTAATTGCATGATTTTCTACAGAAACCAATTATCTGAATTCATTTTAATCCGATTGCTAACCAGATTGTGTTAAGGACTGGAGAGGTCAATTACATATTGTTTTTAACTTCCACTGTATCATTAATAACCTTTGCCATTTGTCTGGTCACACTTGGTCTCCAAACATCAAATTTTGACCTAGGCCTGTACTGGGGTTGTGCATTCAGGATAAACATTGACCTTTTTAATATCCCGGCTTTTGGTGGGGGCCACCAATATTTTTTGGGGGGGAGCCTCCAAAAATCGGGAGGGCAGATACTTGTTTTTGCTCTGGGGTGCTGAAAGATCTATTTTCTATCAGA